TCGCCGTTGCCCTCGCCATCGCCATCTGCCTCACCATCGCCTTGATGATGACCATCACCCTCACCCTCACCGTCATTGTCTCCATCATCATCGGACTTTCGCCGGCGTCATCCCCATCATCATCGATTCTTGTGCTGCTCTCAGGTGGGAGCTTGAGGAGCAAGCCTTCAGCTGATTTACATACTTTTTTCAGAGTCACAGCCCATAACATGTAGAAGGCTTCTTAGCGAGACCCTAAACCCTAGAAAAGGATCCAGGAGCCTGGAAGTCTGAATTTCTGAGCTCTCGAAACCTTCAATTCAATTCCTAAACCCGGAAACCTTGACCCTTCAAGTAGGTAGTAAGTAGAGAGATAGGCACCCGAATAGGGATGTTAATTGGCATTTTGGTTCTTGGAACTTATAGTTGTATAGACAATCACCACTTGCTAAGGCGCCCTAGCTTCGCAGATATCCCTGAAACCCTAAACCCACTGAGCTCTCTAGAACCCTTAAGGGAACCCTTCAAGATACCCTTAAAGCAACCCTACAGCTAGCTTCGCAGATCGGCGGCCCTGACGGGCGTGGCCCCCTGCGGGTGGGATGGTCATGGCCGAGGTGGGGCCATCGGCCCCCCCGGTGCCGCCTCCCAGTGGTTTGTGGCGGGGATACTACGTCTACGAGCGGCTTGACCTCAGCTTTTCTTTTTTTTCAATCTGAAACCGAAACGTGAACCCTGAACCCTAAACCCTAAACCTTAACTAACCGAAAGCCCTCGCCCTTTTTCCATTTCCGGGTTTTTGGGGGCTTTGGGGGTTGTGCAGGGCCCCCGAGATGGCGCAAGATAAGATACGATAACAGAGACAGCCGGCACCAGAAAAAGATGCTGCCGACGTCGGGGTTTGGGGGTTTAGGTTCAGGGTTTCAGCTGGGGATTCCTCCGACTTGAGGGTCGTGATTTGTAAGGTTTAGGGTTTAGGGTTTCATGGAGCTCCTTGTTGACTCTAGGGTTGGAGGTCTGGAATTTAAAAAGGGTTCAGGTTTTCAGGTTTGGGCTTCAGGGCTCAAGGTTTAGGTTTCCGATTCCGTAGACCCTTGACATACTCAACCTTCAAGGCGCTATCATTCAGGTTGTAGGGTGGAGCCCGAAGCGTTCGGTTCCTCAGGCCCAACCAGGGCCGATGGACAACAACCCAAGGTCTTGACCCAGATTCAACGATGCACCTAAACCCGAAACCCGAAACCCTAAACCCTAGACCCTAAACCCTGAACCCTAAATCCTAAACCCTAAACCCTAAATCCTAAACCCTTAGCCCTAAACCCTGAACCCTAAACCCTGAACCCTAAACCCTGAACCCTAAACCCTGAACCCTAAACCCGCAACCCCAAACAATAACTCCCATGGCTTAGGATACTCCACGTGATTCAGGATTCGTGTCCGTCAGCAGTATCAGGCTTGATGCCTAAGCCCTTATCTCTAAATCCCGCTCTGTTCAGGGGGTTTAGGGTTGAGGGTTTAGGGGATCCTTCAGCCCCCAAATCCCCAAGTCCCTAAACCCCTAAACCCTAACCCTGTTTCCTTAGAGCTCATCCTCAACCTTGCTCAAGGGGTTTTGGAGTCTTTGAAGGCTTAGCCCGTGTAGAACCCATCAAGAGCACCTTTGCGAAAACTTTTTACGTACAGCGACTCATACAAAGCTCGCATACTCATAATACAGAAGCCTAAACTCATTGCCAAGACTATGCCTTAGGGTTCCTGATTACCCATAGGCTCCTTAGTAGTTCCTTTTCGGGATTACCTTACAGGCTTCTAAATATGAACCATAAATAGGCACTACTTAGCAGCCTATGGGTATACTTATCCTCTACAGGAGCCCGAAACGCTTTTCTGATTACTAAGGCCGCTATCATTAGATCTGTACTGAGGAACCTTTGCGGTGGGAGTGCAAGCCCTGAGCCTTTAAGCCGTAAGCCCTAAACCCTAAACCCCTGAGCCTTCAGCCCTGAAGTCTGCCAACGAGGCGAGTCAATCACGACGTCTGCGAGTTCAATCTGCAGCTCCTTGGATCCCCAACAAACAGAGAGTTAGCCAATTTCGGGGCCTTGAATTTTTAGAACAGGGCTCTGGCGTATGTTATCCTAGAATCATAAACAGGAATCCCAAAATAGCATTGGTAAGTATTAGGCCCCCTATGTTTTGCTAATCTAAGGCTTCCTGGGAGGGGGGGGATGCTCTTCTGTAGAGGTTTTTTTTGGGCTATTCAGTCTTCAAGCCTTGATATTGGCAGGGTGCAGGATGGGATCTAGGATTTAGGATTGAGAGCGGTTGTAGGGTGCTGGGGGCAAGTCTGCTGAGCTCCATCACTAATTCAGGTTGACCGGTCTTTTCGCATGGGTCTTATTATTACTATTTATTATTGTTAATCTTACTATTCTTGGCGTTCTTCTGGTTGGCTCTTAGGACTTTAACTTTTTGGGTTTCTATATGAATTATAGTAAGGAGGCTAAAAGTTTAACTTTTAGGAGGGGTTCAGAAGTCAGCCAAGTATTCTTATTGTTATTACTATTGCTATTACTATCACTATGATGATTGTTATATTCATGTCATATTGTATTTTCTTGTCTTGCCTGCTGTTCAGGGAGGGTGATGGACCGTCATGCCGTGATGAGCGGTTGCAGGATTTCAGCATTCTAGGTTTGGTCTAGGACCCCCAGACCCGGAACGCCATACTGTTAATGGTATAAATCCTGCATTGCCTTAAGGACCCTAAACTATGGGAATTATGGGATATTCCTGTTTACGGGTAATGCAGGACTTAGACCATCAACCGTAGGGATTGAAGCGAGGCTGCCGGACTCCTTGCAGTTTAGGATTCAGGAGTCTTGGATTTGACCCTAAACCCTAAACCCTAAACCCTAGACCCTAAACCCTAAACCCTAAACCGTTTTAGGATTTAAAGAGGGGGTTCCGGGTTGAACGTGCAAGACTTAGGGTGAGCTTCGGGGCTGAACTGAGGGTGGAAGGTTCCAGATTTGGGATCAGAAAGCATCCTAAACCCTAAACCCCTAAACCCTAAACCTCTTTTACCTATGAATATGACACTTTAATTACATGTCCTGAATAAGGCCAGTTTTCCGTTTTCTGAATAAAGGCAATTGTCCCTGACAGGATCGGAACCCCAAAGGCAGTTCCTGACGAAAGCAAATTTTCCTTGACGGGATCGGAATCCCAGGCATTCTGACAGGATCGGAGCCCAAAGACATTTGTGGGTTTAGGGCTTTAGAGGGCTGGGCTCTGGGCTGGCCTCTCGGGTTTAGGATTTAGGGCTCTGGGCTGGCCGTTAGGGTTTGGGATTTAGCGCTCTGGGCTGGCCTTTTTGACTCTGGGCTGGCGGCGTTTAGGGCCATTTTTTATTCCCATAAACAGGGACTCAATAGATCCTAGGCTATCACTTCCAAGCCCTATCTGCTTTGAGGGTTTGGATTTAAGGCTCTGGGCCAGCCTGTAGGGTTTAGGATTTAGGGCTCTGAAGGCTGGCCTCTAGAGTTTAGGCTTTTAGGTTCTGAGCGGGCCGTTAAGGCTAAGGATTTAGGTCTTTGGGCTGGCCTTCAGGGTTTAGGGTTTAGGGCTGGCCGTTCGGGTTTAGGATTTGGGGCTCTAGGATTTATGACCGGCTCGGGTTGATGAGTGGTCATTGTTGAACTGACCTGTACCATTTGATGACACCTTTATTTTCTGAATGTACCTGAACAGCGCTTCTCTGTAGGGAGATCCTGTAAATAGGCAACCCGCGTCATTTTGGGGCTAGGGGCTAGCGGTTTAAGTTTTAGTGAGCGTTTAGGGTTTGAGACGCTTGTAGTAGACATCTGTACAAAACCCTACACCCTGGTGAAGCGCTCGAATCATCTACGAAACTCTGAATCCAGAAACGTCAGCATCCGCTGCGTGTCTAGTTTTACGGGATATTCAGACTGTTTCTTACTTGGGGCCGTTTTCGAGTCTTTGGAAGCCCTGAAGACAGGTTCTCTGAGAATAGAAATGTCCGCGGCGACGGCGTGGATGACGTAGGCGGCAGCCGCAGAGACCGAATGTTACAATGCACTCAGCGTTCCTGACACAGATCCCTACTATACTATATGGCTTCTTGCATATTCGTTAAGCAGACAACAGATTTTGGACTCCCTTTGAGGCTCGTGTTTGAGAATGTCGTGCATTTCGGGGTTGCAGTTCGGGGCTTTTAGGGGTTTTACCCCCCAATTACAGTAATATAGCTCCGGAACTAGCATTCTTCTTCGGGGTTCCTCATGGGATTCAAGCCTTTTGGAGCGTGGCAAGGCTTGCATTGTGCCTGTTAGCCCTAGAGGCTTCCCTGCTAAAGGAACCATTGTAAGGAACTCACAGAAAGGAACCCAACACACGTAGGTTGTTCTAGGGTCCAGGCAAAGACTCTGCACTGTTGGGTCTTACTACGGGCCATATTGGGGTTACCTTGTGGTTGAGGCTCTGGGTTGAGTGTACACAGCGAGTCAATGAGGCTTTGCTGCTTTGTGCTTGTAAGTAAGGGCATGCGCCAGTGTTCCGCGGTCTGCGATAAGCCAGATTGGACTTGTTTTGGCTTTGAGGGACTGTGCAGGGATTTGCGCTGAGGATGGTCAGGAATGTAGGCAACTGTTCAAATCTTGCTGTGAATAGTATGTTGCTTATACCTAGACTTAGACAAAGAGCATATCAGCAGGTTATGACATAACCTAAAATGTGCACTAGCCAGCTGCGCCCCAACACATGCTGTGCTCCAGAACTTTCGGCCTGTAGGCCTAAGTCTACTTTTTCACGGGAACCCCTTCACGTCTTCGCGCTTGCTGGGAGGTCCATGTCTAAGGGAGAGGTGGGCTTGCATGTGCGTAGAATCGGACGATTTAGGACTCAGGGGTTTGGGGTTGATGGACATTTTCCTTAGAGGTACTCATGATGATCCTTCAAGTGCAGGCGCCTACAACATCTCCGGCAGTTTGGACCGTTCCATGCGGGAGATTACCTTTCACAAGAAGTGCCCCAGAGCCAACACCTTCAGCCGACACAGCACTTCATTTTGCCTTTCACATCACTACTTAAGTCCTCAGTGCTCAGTATAGCAGCAGCTACCCCTACTAAAACAACCACTACTACTGTTACTACCAGAGTACTAGTACTAGGGCTAGTACTAGTCGGCGACGGATTCAATCTGTTTTTTGACATCAGCACTGTCACGGTTATGTTGCAACAGAGGAAGACAACGACTATGCGTATGATACACGATGTCATTACCAGTGTCATGGAAAGTTGAAGTACCCTCGGAAATGCACTGCTTCAAGAGTACTGATGATAATCGCAGCAACCGCAACTCCCCGAAGCAGCGGTGAACCCCGAAACAGGTTCCAGCCATAGTGTGAATCTTGGAAAGATGATTGCTGCGACGGTGATGAGGGATGAGACATGCCCTGACATCATCATGCGCACCACCATCACCACCGGCCCCCCCCCCCCACCGCCACTGCCGCCGCCGCCGCCACCGCCAACAGCAGCAGCAGCAGCAGCAGCAGCAGCATCATCGTCATCATCCTCGTTCTGGTCCTCCTCCTCCTCGTCGTCGTCGTCGTCGTCGTCGTCGGAATCACCATCGCCATCACCATCGCCATCACCATCGCCATCACAGGTACCATCACCTCACATTCACCATTATATTTTTTGTCATCGGATCGTCACATTTCCGTCATCAGTTCACCACATCATCTCATCACACCCGCAACATTGGCACTCACAATGACAACCATGTTGATCAGGGTCCGCCGAACACTACCAGTCCATAGCATTGTTCAACCGCCACGTGACGGCTAGAGTCTGAAGTGCCAGGAATTCTCTGTCTGAAGCAGACCGGAGTTCGATCATCATTTCAACCGCTTGCGAAGCCAAAGGCGACCGGGCCGGGAACCGGTGGCCTGGACCGTGGACCCCAAATTCACCGGGTGGCTGAGTGGCTGGGCTGGGCTGAGTTTGGATGGGTGGGCTACGTTATGGCAGCCTTGGCTGAAACCATACGAACCGTTCCAAGCTGCGCTTCTGAGCCGTTCCGACTCGTTCCGAACCCTCCGAGCAGTTCAATCCTATTCCGCGCCGCGAACCGGCGCGGAGGACTCCGAAGGGGCTGGAAGTGGCGGGAAGCCTTCGGGGACCCCTGTTGCGGGGCGGGGCGGGGGGGCGCTTGATTCAGAACGGCTAGGTCTGTGAACCTAAAGCCATAGTCTGTATATGTATAGTTGTAAATGTAGGAACCTGATTAAGTAACCTTGGCTCTATACCCCAAACGTATTAGGATTCATATTAAGAACCCTAATAAAGACCCAGGGTTTCTTAATCAGGTTCCTACATTATACAAGGTCGCGAAACGCTAGTCTGCTTATTCAGGCCCGGCCTCGTTTTTAGTTGAAACTGCACATCCTCGATTTCTCACAAAACAAGCCTCTTCCCCAGCTTAAGATAGTCTGACAAGTCGGGGTCCGTCCGATCCTCGATAAGGGTGAAAACATATCTGAGGGAGCAGGAGTTTGTATTTCAAGGTTAGGTTTTTTCCCAGGGCTTCAGGCCCAGGATCTGCGGGTTTTGAGATTTACTGCCTTAGGGTCTTAGGGTTTAGGGTCTTAGGGTCTTAGGGTCTTGGGGTTTAGGGTTTAGGGTCTTAGAGTTTATAGGGATTGTCGGGTTTCAGGGTTTACGATTCTGGGGATGTCGCCGCGTCTTGGGGCGAGGTACCGGCGTGGCACCCGAAATCACCTGGGCTTCGTTAATGAGGACAACGAGGGCCACACCGTGGTGTACAAAGGGAGGCAGAGCACTCCGAAATGTCTTTCGAAGCCCGTAGGTTTAGGGTTTAGGGTCGCTAAAGGGGTAGTTCTCTAAAATGGGGTCACTTTTGGGGTCCTTTTTTATAAGGGTGCCGGACTATATTTGGGATCTAGTTTAGAGAACTACCCATATGCTACGCCGGAAACCCTGAACCCGTATACCTTCGACTAGTTTGGGCGGATCAATAACACTAAGCTATCTTCCGAGATCTTTCCTCCGCCTCTCCACAAAGTGCATGAGCACCAAGAGATCCGACCTGGGGAGTCCTTTATGGATCCATACTTAGGGGGGTTCTTTCTTTCCAAACCCTCAACCCTCGACTTACCTTAGACCCTAACCTTACACCCTAAACCCCCTAAACCCCCTAAACCCCCAAAACCCCCTAAACCCCCTAAACCCTAAACCCTAAACCCCCCTAAACCCCAAACCCTCGCCAGACCGTGGGGTTTGGGTTTGGGTTGAGAGCGTTTGCGCCTGTCGTTCTTGCGCTGGATGTGCAATTCCCCGCATTTACTAGGGCTCGGGTTTAGAAAGGGTTTAGGGGTATATTGTAGTACAGTTCTCTACAGTTTTAAGAGAACCATAAGAGCGTGTCATTAGGCAGGGTTTCAGGTTTAGTGCGCCGAGTTCAAGCCCTACAGCATTCCGTCGCTCGATTCTGTGCTGAGGGCCTTTGGAATTTGTCGGGTTGTCAGATTTCTGCACAGAAGCCTGGTAAATCAATAGGACTATCCCTTGTAGTCTTTCCCTCACCGTAGTCCAGCTATACCCTGGAAATTCTTACGGCCCCTTTCAATAGACGATTATGTAACCCTAAAAAGGAAGCCTTTACAGGAGCCCCCAAGCCCGATCCTCAACTGTATTAGGGCCTCTGAGTCTGACTTGGGCTCTCTCCGGGGAAGGGTTTAAGGTCTATTTAGAATTTAGGGTTTAGGGTTTAGGGAGGGTTTTTAGGGTTTAGGGTTTAGGGAGGGGTTTTAGGGTTTAGGGTTTAGGGGGGAAGCCGGAACACCAAGAGTCAGACACCGATTCTGCAAAACCCCAAGTCCAATCTCCAAACCCTAAATTCGAAGCCCCAAGCCCCAAACCCTGCACCCTGAACCCTATACGCGGATACCCCCAAACCCTAAACCCCATTTCGCGAACACGAACTCGAAGTCGCAGCTCTAAAACCTAAACCCTAAACCCTAAAACCCTAAGCCCTAAACCCTAAACCCCTACACCGCTGAAGGCTCATCGGAGACAACCTCGGAGCGGGCTTCCGAGGTACTTGGCAGATTCGAAACAGCGGAACCAACAGCAACTTGCCGAGCTAGCTGTTCAGGGTTTAGAAGGTTCAGGGTTTATAAGGTTCGGGGTTTATAAGGTTTAGGGTTTATAGGGTTTCGGGTTTTAGGGTTTAGGGTTTTAGGGTTTAGGGGTTAGGGTGTCAGGGTTTTAGGTTTCGGGTTTAGGGCTTGAGGGTTCAGGGTTTAGGGTGCCGAGGGTTTTGGGTTCATGGAGTTGAGGGTTCTTTGTAGGATGTTTGAGGCTTTCAGCGCAAGCACAGCCGGTTTGACAGACGGTTGAGGGTTTAGGGCAGTTTGGTCCTATTCCTTAGGGTTCCATAATGTACTTGCATCATGAAGCACGCGGAAACCGCAGACTTTTATGAGAGCCATGCAAAAGAAGGCTACCCTAAACCCTAAACCTAAACCGTGTTTCTGAAAACCCTAAGCCCTACACCCCCGAATCTTTCCCGTTCGAAGACTTCAGGCGACGGCAGCTTTCACCTCTGGCCGGCAGCGGAGTTCCAGCCGTCAGCGCCACCTGCAGCCCAAGTCTTTCAAGTGGCAGAGGACGGAGGGCACAGGATGTGTTGCAGGTCCGATGTCGTTCGTCCTTTGGGTTTAGGGTGCGACTTAGGGATTTAGGGGTTAGCAATCCCAGAGGGTTTGAGAGAGCTTGAGTGTTCATGGCTCCGAATTTACCTATGTGAAGCTGGCAAAAGTTAGGCAGAGACGGGGGTGCCATGAATGATGGTGTTGATGCCGGCTTCCGGGCGCTTTGTTTGTGGCTGATGCTGGCTTCCTGGTGATGCTGCGGGTGGCTTGGGTTTTCCAGAACATATACCATATGTGGAATGTAATGAGGCTTATGACAAGGTAAAAGTTATCAATGGCCCAATGTACTACTAAAAGATATCTTCAAGCAATAAGAAGAACCGCAACATCGTTCGATCCTTAAGCAAAGGCCCCCCACTGAACTTGCTGCTGGGCGAGGACGGTGAGTGCGTGGTCTGCTACGAGCGGGCGATCAACACTTGCCTGCAGCCGTGCGGCCATATGGCAATGTGCCAGCAGTGTGCCTTGCTTCAGAATCGGTCCCTAAGCCCCAAGAGCCTAAACCCCAAACCTCAAGAGCATAATTAAACCCTGAACCCCAAAAGCTTAATCCCTAAAGCATAATTAATACCCTGAACCCGAAAAGCTTAATCCGTACACCCTGAACCCGAAAAGCTTAGACCCTAAAGCCTAAACCCCAAACGCCTAAGCCTTGGCTTCCGGACCTCTTCAGTCGAAACACAAACCCCGAACCGCGAATCCTAAACCTTGCACCCATATGAAGATACTTGCAGCTCTCTTAGAGTTGAAGATTCAGGATTTAGGCGCTAAAAATGCCAATGAAGAGCCACGCACAATCAAGGAATAGGTTTTTGAATGCAAGATGAAGCCAGGTATATGGTGCAAGTTATATTCCTGAATGAAAGGATGCACTTGGCTCTGCGCATTTTGCCTGTTGGCTTCGAGACTGTTGGTCCCTGCCTTCTAGAAGACTTGAAGGCGCTTGAAGATTATCGTTGTAGGTTTTCTGAGTGCCACCTGCTATTTCAGTATGAGTGCAAGTAAGGATAGGGGTAGTGAGTAGTGGCAGCAGTGGTAGGAGTAGGGGTAGCAGTACGTAAGCGTAGGAGCACGAGTGTGAGCAGGAGTAGAAGTAGGAGGAGTAGTGGTAGTAGCAGTAGCAGTAGCAGTAGCAGCAGTAGCAGCAGCAGCAGCAGCAGGAGCAGGAGGCGTCGTCGTCGTCGTCGTCGTCGTAGAAGTAGCAGTAGCAGTAGCAGTAGCAGTAGCAGTAGTAGTAGTCGTCGTCGTCGTAGTCGTAGAAGTAGCAGTAGCAGTAGCAGTAGCAGTAGCAGTAGTAGTAGTAGTAGTAGTAGTAGGAGTAGCAGCAGTAGCAGTAGCAGTAGCAGCAGGAGGAGGAGGAGGAGGAGGAGTAGTAGTAGCAGCAGGAGGAGGAGGAGGAGTAGTAGCAGCAGCAGCAGCGGTAGTGGCAGCAGCAGCAGAAGCAGAATTAAGGGTAGGAGCAGCAGCAGTACCAGCATTAAGCAGTACACAGTAGTAGCAGCAGTTGTTGTTGTTGTTGTTGCTGCTGCACGAACTGTTGCGAAAACCCGAGGTGTCTCCATGCTGCCGGCCCCTCGCACATGTCCCATCTGCCGCAGCCGAATACAGCCCTCCGGCTGATCGTGTCCTCCGCACACCAGCCACCTAAGGAACCGCAACTTTGAAAGGTTCTGGCATATAAGGGAGCTTCAATGAAGACGGTTGCAGGGGAGGCTGTATGGTTGGCAAGTCGGAATTCAGTTTTGCATGTGACCAGCACAAGTTCCACAACCCGACGACCTCGAACCGAACAGTGCTGGGAACCCCGAATCCCCATATCATCCCATATCCTATGCAATCATATTCCTGAACCCCCCATTCCTCACATCCTATGCACTCTCTTTCCAGCATGGAGGGGCATTGTGGGATACGGAGAGCATACAGTCTGTGTCGAACCTCCGGCTCTTGTCCTGAAGCCCAAATCGCAAGCCGCAGACCCTAAACTCCAAACCCGAAACCCTGAATTCCCTAAATCCGAAACCCAAAACCCTAAACCCTCCTGACTTTTGCAAACCCGGAACTCTACTGCCATACCTTTTCGAAGAACATGGCTTCCCCTCAACCCGAACCTTGGCTTCCAAGCCCTCAGAGCCCGCAACCCTGAAATCCCAAAGCCCTACCCGTCATTTCTTCGAGGTGCTGGGGAGGGTTTCCATTAAACTTAAACCTAAACCCAAAGCTAGCTTAGGGTAGCTGAGGGTTTAGGGTTTAGGGTTTGCATCATAACAGCTTTCACTTGTACTCTGAACAGCCTCCACCCCCCAAGCCCCAAACCCTAAACTGTTAGAACCCTTAAGGCGCCCTAGGTCATCAGAGCCCGGATCTCTCCAACCCCTCAAGAAGCTGCCATGAAGCAACGATAAGCAAACCTGACAGCAGCCTACGCGTCCCGAGCTGTCCAGCCGTGAACAAAACTCACCCTACGCCCTCTTCAACTCCGAGGTCTGTGCTGACGCAGCCCCCGGGCCCCTAGGAATGGAGGCGTCTGAGCGCCTTCGATTTGGGGCGCGCAGGGTTTCATGGGGGTTTTGAGGGCTTTCGGGTTTAGGCTCATTTGAGGGTTTAGGGCTCTGAGGGTTCAAGAGGTTTTAGGTTTGGAAGGCATGTCGACCTAAACCCTAAATTCCCACCCGGCCTGCTTAGGCC